GTGGTGTAATGGGGTGATAGGGTGGGTGAGGTGTCATGGGGTGTAAATAATTAATATATATTATATTATAATTTAATATTTAATAAATTTATTTACCACCTGATTTTTGAAATAATTAGACAAATTTGTTAGTTTTGAAAAATAATTCTTATATGTAGATTTTGTGTATTGTTCCCTTGAATCAATCGACTTAAGCCTAGACAGTCTTCTCAGAAAATGGTAGTCTTCGGACAAAAATGTTTGGGCCCGTGTTTTTTAAATGATCCAAGTAAATATATTTAAAAGAATTTGAAAAAAAAAAAGGGAAAAACTTATTTATTTATTTATTTTTAACTACAATTTAAATTTTAAAACACAAACGGAAAGAGCTGATAAAGACCACATCCCTCTCTTCTGTCCTCAACTTGGGGCAAGGGATTTTTTTCGAACCTTGCCACATTGTCAAAAAAATTTGTAAGATTCCTTGCCACAATGTTACATGAAATTTTATTATTTGACTGCTTAAAAAACATTCAATTTCTACATCCAATCATACCCTGTCAACAAATCATATGTCAAGGAATCTAGCAACATTTTCTGGTAAAATGGCTTTAACTCATTTTTTCCTGGTTCTTACCCTGAATTTCCACTAACTGATGAATCCATTTTGTGACTGTGTGGGACGGACCTGAAAATTTTGTTGTCCTATGCTTGTTCCTAAGGTTTATTTAATTAACAACCTTAAATTGATGGAAATTTGTCCATTTTCTTGTACATTTGTTTTGATCTATATAATTCACATTTACCGATAAAAAAAAAAAAGTTTTTGTCCATTTTCTTGTACTCGCTACTCAGTGTTGCAAAGTGACTTTAACCAATACTCGTGGGACCAAAACCGATTTTTCAATGAATTGAAGACGTACGTTGGGGTGAGCTCGGTGCAGAATGCGCGCAGCATCCCCAAAATCTCGCCATCCCATACGCTTTCCCGGCAAAAATCCCTCCCCTTCTCCCGCGTTTTTCCCCCTGTTCATTAGAAATTCTTCATTTCTCTCAGTAAAATTTTAGCTCAACCTCTCGACTCACTCACTCTACTCACACACA